TTAGGCTCTGAAAGAAAGGTAGGCGTTTCCAGTTTTAAGGACCATCTCAAAGAGGTTAAATTCCTCCCCTTTTCTAAGGTGGCTCTGAGCCAAGAGGATGAAAAGCCAGCTAAAGTACTTGGTGGTGGGGTGGCTGTGGCAGAGGAAGAGTCCTTCTGCTCAGCAGGGCTGCTGGATGTGCCCACTTTATGCAAAAGCTGATGAGGCATCCAGCCCAGCAGGGCTACTCCCTGGGGAAGATGGCCTGAAGGAGGTGAAATGATGCCAGCTCTCATCCAGGAGGGGTGCTGGCTGGCACTGCACATGGAATGAACATGAGCTAGGTCTGGGAAGTGAGAGCAGGAGCCCAGGGATTTGGTTTTAGTCGTGCAGAGTGTTATATGTGTGTGGGTTGAGGGGGTGGTATGGAAAAGGTGGGGGGAGGGGTGGGGAGGGGTGGGGAGTCCTGAGAGAAGGGATAGACAGTCTAGCTGGTAGTGTGCTGGGATCTTCCTGGGCAGATAATGAACAATACAACCTTTAGCTATAGCCACTCAGTCCTTTTTGATAATTTCTTGGATAAGTCATTCATTCAAAAATCACTAGAACCTACTGGGTGTCAGGCCCTACACTAGACAGAATGACAGATTCCGACTTTATGGGGTTCTCAGTTTGGCAAGAGAGAGGTAGATTATAATACATTGCTCAGTACGCCTGAGAGCTTACAAGAGGCCTTGGAGCCAGTTTTGGATTGATCTAGACTCCGTCACTTACAAGGGTGGGAGATATTGGCAAGGAATTCAACTTAGCTCTGAGTTTCAGTTTCCTTATCTGTAAAATGGAACAAGGAATACTTCCTTCACAGGATTCTTATGAACCTTAACTTAATACAATGGTTGAAAACACTTAGTTCAGTACCTAGTACACAGTTAAGCATTAAGAAATGAATGACTAATTAATGCTCCATCCTGTGATTTACCAGGAAGAAAGGCAAGATGACTGACAAAGTTACTTCTTTGGATGAAAAGAAGGCTTGAGGCAAGAGCTGAAGACTTGGAAACAGAAAGCCTAGATTTAATTCAAACTCTGCCGCTGATTAGCTGAGTTACTTTGGAGAAGTCATTTCCTCTCTTCAACTCTTTCCCATTTGTAAAACAACAGCAGCACCAATCATCAACACCAGCATTACCAGCGCCACCATCATCACCACCACCACCATCATTACCACCATCAGCAATATCACCATCATCACCACCACCATCATTATCACCATCACCACCACGACCACCATCATCCTCACTGACACTGTCATCACAATCACTATCACTGCCATCACAACCACCATCCCAAAAGACTGAGGAAGTGAAGTCCCACTGGGCCCAGAGTTGAGGACACAGATGTGTTGAGGGTAGGAGGTGGGACACACAATCTGTGCTCCTCCAGGCCATGGGAATCTATTCAAACAGTTGTCTTGTGTGGTTTGTCAAGAAGAAAGACCACATGAATGAGTAAGGACTTAATGAGGAATTTCTGAGATGAGATCGCTAGCCAGGCTGCCGAGAACCCAGGGGCCTGAGTAAACACTTGTATAAAATCTGACTTCACTGTTTCCACAAACCTAACCAAAGTACTGGGAAACTTGTCAGCTCACATTTCATTACAGGCTGGTTGTTGAGTCAGGGCATGTTGATTTAAGCTGCTTTCATTAAATCCTGTTCTCTGAGTCAAACAGCAAGACACTCACCTCGGGCAAGAGATGGTCCCCCTTCCCCGCTAGATGGCGGGGGCCTATCTCTGCCAACCTCATCACCTGGAGTCAGTGCTGATGGTGAAAGGACCACAGAGGATGTCAGCTGGCCTGCAGCCCCTGACGGGAAGGCTCTAGGCGGTGACTGTGCCAGCCCTGCCGTGCCAGGAGCAAATAACACAAAGAGCATGACTTGAGCTACTGCTTGCTGGGTGTCTGAGTTGTGTTTGCCAGCATGCTAACCTCTTTACCCACGTATTCTCACCAAATCCTTACAACAATCCTGTAGGTAATCTTACCTAAAAGGAAACTGAGGGTCAGGGAGGTTAAGCAACTGGTTGAAGCCGTTCAGCTGGTGGGAAGCAGATCCTCTGAAACAAAGTTCAGTGCCTGTTCACTACTCTGTAGACAAATCCCTGAGCACAGAAGACAGGCCCTTGGCTACAGTGGCATCTGCTCAGTGAGGCATCCCTTAATTAGCTTCACGGCCTAAACGCCATTTCAGACAGCCTCCACTCTGTGAAGGTGCCCTCGAAAGGGAGGGAGGGGAAAGGCAGGAAGCATTCCCCCTCTAGGCGCTGCTCTCTGTGTGTACCTGCATCATCTAACTTAATCCTCACGTAACCCTCTGGCGTAGGCATGGCTGTTATCTCCATTTTTCAGACAAGGAAACTGCAGTCAGGAAAAGCCGAAGAACTTGCTAAGATCACACTCAGGACTGTACAGGTACTGCCTGTAGCGCAGGGAGAGGGAACTACCATCAACATGCATTCAGCAGCCTTCAAACTGGCTTCCAGTGAGAAGTGATGGCCGAGGAGAAGTTGTGGCCTTGGGGAGGCAGTGCAGAGTGTGTGCAGCGTGCTGGGGCCCCAGGCTGGGCTGTGCCTCGCAGCTTCAGGCACAGGAAGCCTTAGGTAAGTCTCTGAGCCCAGTGTGAGGATGGGGATGATACCACGCCTGTCACCCCGCCTCACCGGCTGTTGTTGCTGGTGTGTGTGTGGGTGTGTGTGTGTGACAGAGACAGAGATCTTTGTATGCTGTGAAGCACATGACAAACACACATCATTATTCTTATTGCAAGAGGAGACAGTGATTTTGAAGCCATCTTTTAAGTTCCTGGCCTCGTGGCAATCATGACACTGTTTTAGTTAGTTACCGGTTAGAGATTTAAAAATTATAATCCACATTTCTGAAAGAGCACATTTCCTCTAGCCACTCTCAAATGTCTCCATTAATATCAAGCGCTCTCACCAATGGGTGTTTTAATCATAATCACAACATAGCTAAGATGAACTGAGCCCATATCACGGGCTGAGTAGCATGCTAAGTGCTTTTTACATTATCTTCAATAATTCTCCAAATAATAATTTTCCAAGTTCTAACCCCACAAGGTAGGTACTATCATTATCTCCATTTTACAGCTTACAGAAGTGAAGTAACTTGCCCCAGGTCATAACTAGTGAGCAGCAGGGCCAGCGTCTGAGCCCAGGACTGCTGGGTCCTGGGCTCTTCCTATCACACGGAGCTCTTTGCCTTAGTGAATGAGGCCATGTGTCTGATTCTGGCTGCAGGGAGTGGAGGGCACAGAGTTGAGGAAAGTGCACTCTCACAGTTCCACTGAAGTCCCTTCCAGTGGGTCTGCAGCCTCCTTTTACAGGGCCAACTGAGGAATACTTGTGATCTCACTCGAAGTTACACCTGCCTCCATCAGAGGCTGTGGAGTTTCATCAGGGATTAACAGTGCATGGACAGTTATATTTCTGTCATAAATTAGCTTTGTGGCCACATAATGAATAATACAACCCAGTGTGGCTTTAAGAGGACTATTTATTACAGTGCTATAAACAGAGCTATATAAAAAGAATTACTCCTAAGACTCTGCACATCTGTGTCCACAGTCATGTCTCTACATGAGCTTTGCAAACAAGGATAAAAGTCCAATTTAGGCTGCGTATTGAACACCAGTTCTCCATTCAATGGGGAAAGGTAACTCAAAGTATTCCAAAGGCACAAATGCTGCACTGGATCTCGTTTTTGCCAAAGGTCTCAACCATCTTTCCATGATCACTCCCAGAACTGTTAACACACAAGATGATGAGTCAATCTGAGCTTCACTTTGTTTAAGTGGCATGGTGGGGAAAGTGACTGAGGGTGAAGAAAGATAGCTGGAGAAGCTATCGCTTTTCAGCTGTGCATTCTTGGGCAGGATTATTTAGAAATTTTCTGGGCCTAAGTTTCTTTATCAGTTAATTTCTCTTCAAGTGTTTGTTTGCTGCCTCTTCTCTCCCTTCCCAGGATGCAAGCTCGCCAAGATAGGACTTCTTACCTGTTTATCCCTTCTAAATAGAAGAGTGTCTTGCACACAGTAGGTGTTCAGTAAGTATTCACTGAGTAAGTACTATGTAAATTGGTAAAACGGGGATGATGATGCCTTTGTGTGGCTTTAAACAGCTAGATGAGATACTAGAAGTGACCACACCTACTACATACCAGTAGTGCACTAGGTGATCCACCTATGTTTTCATTTACCCCTCACCTGGAGAGGGTGTCTAAACCATCAGGTGCTTATAAACAGAGGGTGCCAACAGAATTGTCCTTTGAACTTTATATGTAAATTCTGTGGTGAACCAAATTCCAAAATTAAGAACACATTCAATCATGTGCTTTTTTGTCATTCATTCATTCATTCAATCATTCACCAGTGTCAATTGAGCAACTGCTGCGGGCGAGGCCTATGCTGAGTCCTGGGAATGTGGAGTAAGGCATGTTTTCGATCCTCGTGGAACTTATGTCTCATGGAGGATCTGGCTAGAAAGGCAAGTAGGGGCCACAGCACAGAGCACCCTAAATACCACACTGAGTTTGGATTTCATTCTGAGGAGCGGGTGAAACCAACATCCTTGATGATCTCACAGAGGCCCACTGTCCCTATGGCCTTGCCTCTAGGGTGGCCATCGTAATGCGAGAGACGAGATTGCAGTGAAACACATCTATCATAATTAACACGTTAAGGGGTGATGTTTTGACTCTCAAGGCCACCACTACGAAAGGAATGATGTGAAGATAGGATTTGTGACTCCTCTGCCCATCTAAGAGTAGGGGTGTTGAAGGCTAGAGTTCAGGGGAAGAAGAAAAGCATTCAGACTCGTAGGTAACCTACTGCTACATGACTGAGGATCGGGTCAGAGCATTGATCAGGACTGAATGGTGTACACATTCCAGTGGAAACCTCCTCCCTCCACCCCTGCTATGCCCTTCTCCTCTCCACATTTACCAATAGAGCAGTCATGTCCGGTCCAGCTGGGGTCACAGCTGCAAAGCCCGGTGTCTGGGAGGAAGGTTCCGTGGCCCGAACACTGGTCCAAGCACGTGGCCCTGGGCGTCTCACAGTTGGTGCCTCCCCAGCCCACAGAGCAGTGGCACTCGCCTCTCACGCAGACACCCCGGCCCGAACACGTGGGGTCCATGCAGTCCACTGTGACACAGAGGAGAGACAGTATAGGTAAGTATCAGACCAGCAAGGGTGAGGCTTCTGTAAGCAGAGCGCTATACTCTGTAGTGGAGGGCTTCACACACTTGGGGAGAAGGATGCAGGTTTCCCGTGGAGAGGTCACTTGGTAGGGTGACCATTTGGTGGGACGATGAATAGCAATGACTTCAGCAATGATAGATCTGGGGTCCCAACTTAACCCAGTGATTGACTGTTGACCTTTCGAGCCTCAGTCCCCTCACCTGTAAAATGTGGATACAAATTCCTACCTCTTGGTTTGAGGGGCACACAGAGTAAGAAATATGTGTATAAAGCACTCAGGGCCTATCCTACCATGTCTGTAACAACTGCAACAATAATAGAGAACAAGGCTTTGTTTTGTTCACTCTGTCTCTCCACCTCCTAGAACAGTGCCTAGCACACAGGAGACACTATAAACATCATGGTAGAACAGACGATTAGTGTTCACCACTTCTTAATGCAGTAGTATTTCCATGAATATGGGACTAAAATAAAGAAATTCCTTAATTTAAATGAGAATTTATTTTGCATTTAAATTCCATGAGATTTTATCATCTTCCCCAAATTCTTAAGAAATGTTTCCAAGCAAACATTTTAATAACTATTCAAAATTATGCACGGTGGATGTGCACAGCTCCTCTGCAAGTGGTGGGTAAACTATGCAGCTGTGATTCATAGCCAAGCCCTGCCCCAACCCACCATGGCAGGGCTCTTAGGGCCCCAGGTCAGTGGTCTCAAGAGACCTCCCAGAAAGAGGGAGGAGAGTGACATTGGGGGTTACATGCTTTCTGCTTGCACGACAGGAAGTGCTTTCCATTCCTCATCAGATTCAGTTCTCTCAGTAACCCACTGAGGTACAGGTGAGGAAACTGAGGCTCAGAGAGGTAAATAATTTATACCAGATCACACAGCTAAACCCTGCCAGAGAGGAATCTGAAGACACGTCTGTCTGATTTTGAATCTGGTGATATATCTGTTCCTGGGGTTGATTTTCCTAAATCAAAGTTTTACTTATGGGGTTACACAAAATTCCAGAGACCTTTAACCCTTCACAAAGCACTTCACAGAAAACAGTGGAAGAAGGGTATTGAGAGCTAACTTATCACATGAACATGGGAAGTGTAAAAGTCAGCAGAGAGAAGACAGAATTGGCCAAGGGTTGGTCCATGTTCTCTACTCAACCAAAGAGCTGTTAGATCAACCTTGCATTGCAGGGAGGTAGGGGATTTTATTCATCTTGTAATTGGAAGGGGAGATGGGTGTCCCGTAGGGGCCCAACATGCAGCTGTTGTTAAGAGTGTTGACAGAGCTACGATGAATGCAGTCAGGTTCCTCCTTAAAGGATGCCATGAGAAAGCCATATGCTGCAGAGGAAAAAGTTCAGCATTTGACCTCTGAGGTCCTAAGTTCAAGGGTCACAGGACAAACTATAATGGTTCATGACTATGGTCAAGTCCTGTACCTGCTCTGAGCTTCCATCTACACAGCAGGTACAGGAAAATTACCTACGTCTCTGGTTGCTGTGAGGACCAAACGACACTGAGGATCTGAAAGGACTGTGTAAACTGTAAGTTGTTGCAAAGAAGTTATTTCTCCATCCTATCAGGACATTCAGTAGCATGACTTAGGCAAACTGTGGTCAGAGATCATTTATAATTCAGACATGCTTTTACTTTATTTATCTATTAAATGGCATAACCCAGTATATTTGACTTTTGCACAAAAGCCCGGGAAACCCAACCTAGGTATACTAGAGACAAAAATGGGTAGAGACTTTACAAACAGCAGCATTCTGGGAACAGGCTGTTCATTCTGAGGGCCAGTTTATTAAGAAAACTCACTTACTACTTAGGTTTTTAAAGGAGTTCAAGGTAATTACCTAAATGATAAAGAAGGTGATCAAAGTCAGGAGTCACTGTTTGCTAAATACACAATAATGATAACAATAGTGACAACAACTCGCATTAATTTAGTCCCTCTTCTATGCTGTAACTCGTTATTAAATATTTTATATATATTATCTCATTTAACCCTAACAACAACCCTTTGAGATAGGTACCATTATTATTCTCATTTTACAGATGAGGAAACTGAAGCACAGAGAGGTTAAATAACTTGCCTAAGATCACCCAGTGGTAAGTAGAGGAATTTAAATTTGAATCACTCTTTCCTGGTGTAGATCTCTCACTATTTCCTCTATAACCTTATTGGTTCCAAAATACACACATACATGCATACAGTTGTAAGCACATAAAATGGTTAAAAATAGAAATCAAAACACAACAAGGAAAGAAATAGAGCAAAATGGAGAATTAATAAAGCCAAATGAAGGCAAAGAATCTTTTCTCCTGCAGTCTCTGGACACCACTTAACAATGGTTTAAACATGACCTGTTGGAGTTCCTGGTAATTAAAAATGATAAAAATAATCATAGTGATATATTTTCATGACCTGCCTCAGATCTCAGAAACTCAGAAGGATTATTCTGGCCTATTAGGCTCCTAGGATAATTCCCTAGATCCAGACAGCTTTCCAATTTGACAGGAAACGACTCAGCAGTTCCTATCCTGAGGCCTATAAAGGTATTTCCCATTCTGTGAGAGCCTGGATCCCAGGTTCAGGTTGAAGCTGTCTCTGAGGCACCCCCGAGGTTGAATCTATAAATCTACTCTCTTAGTGGAGCAAGCTGAGAGGGTGCCAAGTTTAGCAAGAGGCCCTTGGTGTCACAGTCCTGTTCCACAGACATAATAAGTCTGATAGGAACCCAGAAACCATCAAAGTGAATTGAACACCCTCAGAAGATGGTCCAGGCAGGGAAGAAAGAGCAGAAAGAACTGATGAGAGGCTACCTCCAGGCAATCCATCATCAATTAATCAGCACCTCTGCAGGTCAGCTTGGCAAAGCAAGTGTGGAATGTGAGGAGAGTTTTAAAGAGGACTGCATCTCGGTGGAAGGCAGGTCCAGGAAACCTTGGCTGAACTGGCTGAGATTCCTGCCAGAACGCTGCCAGAATGCTGCTGATTCCAAACCTAGGGCCGTTATCTGTGCCACAGTGACCTTCTGCCAAAGAGGAGCCACCTAGACTGGGCATCTTCCCTCCCTTTCTGGAGCCTTTGCAGTGAGGAGAACCCTAGGATGGGATTAACACTGGGGTATTTTCCCTAACGATATTTATTCACAGGGAGCTGTGCGTAACATGTGAAGATCTGGTGGGGCTGGGGTCGGAGAGGTGAAGGAATACAGGAAAAGCTGGCTGGCAGCTTCGCATAGAAGACAGTCTAACTTAGCCTCTTCTTAGGAGAGGTGCCAAGCAATTACATTTTTTCCCTCTGCAGAGCTTGCCATTAAAGCCAAAATTTCTGGCAGACGCTTGGCCCGTTAACAAAATGATGGGGCCTGCATGGCCAGGCTGCGAACACAACTTTTCCCCTGAGTGGTCCACGATCCCAGTGACCGCACAAGCTATCAGACACTCTTCAAGACCCAAAACACAGCACCTCACTTTTCACCACAAAGGCCTAGGTCTGGCCCCTCGGCCCCTCTGTCCCTCCCCCAGCTCCTTCCAAGAGTCCCGCTGGCGCAGTTGAGGCTTTAAAAAATATGGGGCAATAAACTTCAGAAGAAGGAAGAGGAGAGAGAGCAGAAAGTAAGCTTGTTAGCTGATGTTTTATAAACATAGTGAGAACTGTTAGAACAGAGCTGGGGGAGGAGGGGAGGAGGGGGAGAGGATGAAGGCCGAGAAACGCCCATTATAAACACAAGGGCCAGGCATGGATGCTTCACTAGAGAAACAGAAATCATAAGAGGAATCAGTACCAGATGGCCCTCCTCAGGAAAGAAAGAAGGAATGAAAACACTGCTTTTCAAACAGATAATGTAAATCAAAGAGCTAAACAATTTCTTTCTCTAAGTGACCCTGCACCCGGGGGCGCTGACCAGTGCCGGCTGATCAGGAGAAGGACCACTTCCCCTGCTCGGCCCACACAACACGGTGCGGGTGGGGGTGGGACAGCCCCACGGTTTCAGAAGGAATCTCCTCTTTGTTTTCCCTTTCTTCACAGGGTCTTCACCTCACGGGATAAAAGAAAAGGGGAGAGCAGATGAAGGTCACCATTGTCAGGATGAGAAAGCCAGGTTCCTTTGTTCAAGGGGCTGAGGCTCCTTGTTGCGCTCAGACAGCCCGAAGTAATCCTCATCAAAGTTAATATGTCTGAATCAGGACCTCCAGTCACACTTGGGGTACACAGACAGCCTGTCTCCGAGAGGTGACGGATGCCTTCCAGACACTAATCCCTTCCCGTTCCCCACTCTTTTAAAATGGGCCCATTATATTCTCTTTGTTCAGGGGAAATGATGCCTTGAGAGGGGACTATCTATTAAATCCCAAGTGGGTTAGAAGACTAGCTCTCCTTGGAGCCTCTCCGCCCACTGGAGCAGGTGCCGGGGCCCCAGACGGTGGACAGTGGGAAGTAATGACTATTTGCATTGTCCATCAGTTTCAACAGCAAAGTACATCCATTTCAAAAGACTCTGGATAAAGTGAGTGAGGTGGAACAGGAAGTGTGCTTCAATGGCCAGAATAATGCTAATAATACAAGAGTGAACACTTACAGAGCATTTCCTATGTGTCAGACACTGAGCTAAGTGCTTCATATGAGTCACTTAATCGAGTCCTCACAACGACCCTCCAAGGAGGGAATTCCCATTTTACAGATGAGGAAACTGAGGTTAGTCAGTGGCAGAACCAGAACCAGAACTCAAAGCTCCATCTGATTCCAGAGTGTGCACTCCCAATGGCTACTCTCCACTGCTTGTGGAGAAGAACCCCCCCTCTCACCAGGAAATCCCATGTGGTCAGGAGGAAAGAGCACTGGGTCTGAGGTGTAAAGACCTGGGTTGAAGTCCAGCCCTGCCATCAGTTAGCTCTCTGGCCATGGGTGTGTCGCTGCCCTTCTCTGGGCCTCACATTCTTCGTTTGTGAGATACAAGTATTTACTTATCTCACCTGGTGAGACTTCTGAGAAAGAACTGAAGTTACTGTTAAGTCAGCAGTTGACTTTCTAACCTTCATCTGCACAGGGATACGTTCACTTTATGAGGGAGGGAGACACATGTATGACCACCCAACAGGCACAAACATGAACGAACACAAACATACACACACACACACACAGAGGAGTGTGACAGCAGAAGGCAACACCTGGAGGTCTATACTAGACTCAGGCTTCAGAAATGGAGTGCAGAGGAGCTTCAAGGGGAGGAGAAAGAACTCAGGCTATGGAGCCAGAAAGACTGAGCTCAGACTGGGCTCTGCTGCCTACCAGCCGTGGGGCCTTGGGCAAGCCATTTGACCCCTTGGGCCTCAGTTTCCTCTACTGTAAAACTGAGGTGATTACCCCTCCCCACTGGGGTTTGAAGTTAAATGACACAGGCTTTGAGCACAGAGCCTTGCATGTAGTCAGTGCTGAAGACGCCTGCTTCTCTTCCCCTCACTGAGCAGGACCCTGATTCGTCTGTCCTCGCCCTTGACGTTAATTCCTATTGCTGACGTCTTCCTGGCTGGAGGGATTGGGGATCACAGGGCAGCTCAGGAGGCTTTCTGTGCTCCCTGGAGGCCCTCAGGGCCCTGCCTGCTAGCCTCTCTCAAAGCCAAGGGCGGGAGCCGCCTGCCCACAGGTCTTACCTTCCTCACAGTTCTCGCCTTTGTAGCCGGGGTTGCAGATGCAGGTGCCCATGATGCAGGTGCCGTGGTTGCTGCAGGCCACGTCGATGCACTGGTTGGTGGGCACGTCGCATTCGGCGCCCTTCCAGCCGCTGTGGCACAGGCACCTGCCCTTCATGTACTGGCCGTTCCCGCTACAGAGCACAGGGCAGGAGGCTGGAGAGACACCATGGGAAGTGTGGCATGAATCCACGACCCCCGTACCCAACATGCCTCAGTCCCCTCTCCCCGGGCTATGAGTGCTTTGCCACAATTCCCATGTGCATCCATCTGTCTACTTCTCGTGCTTTTGGTTCATCCTAGTGAAAACACATCTAGGATTGTAGGGGTAGGTGTACAGTGCAGGGCCCGGCGCAGTTGGTGCCCACTGAACACCGCCTTCCCCTATCCCTCTAGTATTACTGCATGGAGGTCGTTGGGACCCTTAGGCAGTAGGCTTCAGTCTGTTCCTTGGGGTCACTGGAAAAGATAGCTGGGTATCCTGCCTGCTGGCAACCCTCCTCCAGCACTCTCCTGCTGACAGCCCTGCATTTTGCTTCCCCCTCCCTCATGTGCAGCTCCACTTACTGTCGTCTTTAACCCAGCCAATCTTAGCTTTCCTTGCCTTTCTGCCTCCCCGCAAGCCCCATACACACCACTGCCCCCATAAAAAAATAGCCGAGTCCAACTTTGCTCTTTAAAGTATTGTCTTTCCATTCTGCCTCTTATTTTAAAGGGTTTTGTGATCACCTGTACGAAGGACACTACATAAAAATAAATTATATTGCATTGTGCTGTAAGTACCTACCAGCCTTACCAAGATACAATAAGGCTGTTTTATACATGACTCTTAAGTTTAAGTGCATATGGGATGAGACAGTAATTCTTGTTAGAAGGAATGACTCATCCCTCTGTACCGCCCTCCACCAGTTCCCACCTGGCTTCTTTCTTTTTTAAAGCACTCAGCAGGTAATCACTGTGCTTCCTCAGGGCTGCTGGCTCTGCTGCCTCAAACTAAGCCTATCTCACGTTAGGGAGAATAAGCAGAATCCCCACAGCAGCATCACGGCGTGGTATCTGCAGGGCACCGTCTTCAGCGTGGAAAACCACCTCTGCCTCCTGCCCATGACCCACGACTCCAGCATCCGGTCTTAGCCAATGTCACCTCATCTGGGGCCCCTTTCTTGGTCCTCATTCTGTCCAAGCTAAGACCCTTTCATACTGATAGATGTTCCCTGCATCTCACCTTGCTTTAGCATCCTTTACTTTTTTTTTAATTGAAGTATAGTCAGTTTACAATGTGTCAATTTATGGTATACAGCATAACGTACCAGTCATACATATACATACATATATTCATTTTTATATTCTTTTCCATTATAGGTTACTGTAAGGTATTGAATATAGTTCCCTGTGCTGTGCCTAAGAAACTTGTTTATCTATTTTGTATATAGTAGGTAATATTTGCAAATCTCAAACTCCCAATTTATTCCTTTCTACCGCTTTTCCTCATAAGTTTGTTTATTATGTCTGTGAGTCTGTTTCTGTTTTGAAAATAAGTTCATTAGTGTCTTCTTTTTTATTTTTGTAGATTCCACATATGAGTGGTATCATATGGTATTTTTCTCTCTCTTTCTGGCTTACTTCACTTAGAATGATGATCTCCAGGTCCATTCATGTTGCTGCAAATGGCATTATTTTATTCTTTTTTACGGTTGAGTCATATTCCATTGCATAAATATATCACAACTTCTTTATCCAGTCATCTGTTGATGGACGTTTAGGTTGCTTCCATGTCTTGGCTATTGTATATAGTGCTGCTATGAATACTGGGGTGCATGTATCTTTCTAAATTAGAGTTCCCTCTGGATACATGCCCAGGAGTGGGACTGCTAGGTCATATGGTTAAATCCTTTTTCAGTTTTTAAAGGAATCTCCATATTGTCTTCCATAATGGTTGCACCAAACTACATTCCCACCAGCAGTGTAGGAGGGTTCCCTTTCTCCACAGCCTCTTCAGCATTTATCATTTGTGGGCATTTGAATGATGGCCATGCTGACTGGTGTGAGGTGGTGATATCTCATTGTAGTTTTGATTTGCATTTCTCTGATAATTAGTGATATTGAGCATTTTTTCATGTGCCTATTGGCCATGTGTATGTCTTCACTGGAGAATTGCTTGTTTAGGTCTCCTGCCCATTTTTGGATTGGTTTTTTTGTTTGTTTGTTATTAAGTTGTATGAGCTGTTTATATATTCTGGAAATTAAGCCCTTGTCAGTCGCATCATTTGCAAATATCTTTTCCCATTCCATAGGGTGTCGTTTTGTTTTGCTTGTGGTCTCCTTTGCTGTGCAAAAGCTTGTAGGTTGAATTAGGTTCCATTTGTTTATTTTTGGTTTTATTTCTATTGCCTGTGTAGACTGCCCTAGGAGAACATTGCTAAGATTTATGTCTGAAAAGGTTTTTCCTATGTCTTCTTCTAGGAGGTTTATCATGTCTTGTCTTATATTTAACTCTTTAAGCCATTTTGAGTTTATTTTTGTGTATGGTGTGATGGAGTATTCTAACTTCATTGATTTACATGTGGCTGTCTGGTTTTCCCATTGATTTCCCCTGTGGCTGAAGAGACTGTCTTTCTCCATTGTATATTCTTGCCTCCTTTGTCAAAAATTAATTGGCTGTGAGTCTGTGGGTTCATTTCTGGGCTCTCTATTCTGTTCCACTGATCCACATGTCTGTTTTTGTGTCAATATCACACTGTCTTGATTATTGTAGCTCTGTAGTATTGTTTGAAATCTGGGAGGGTTATTCCTCCAGCTTCATTCTTTATCTTCCGTGTTGCTTTGACTCCATATAAAGTAAGATTACTTATTCTGGTTCTATGAAAAATATCATGGGTAATTTGATAGCAATCACATTAAACCTGTAGTTTGCTTTGGGTAATATAGCCATTTTAACAATATTAATTCTTCCAATCCAAGAGCATGCAATATCTTTCCATTTCTTTAAGTCATCTTTAATTTCTCTAATCAATGTTTCGTAGTTCTCCATGTTTAAGTCTTTCACCTCCTTGGTCAGATTTATTCCTAAGTATTTTATTGCTTTGGATGCAATTTTAACAGGATTGTTTCTTTACTTTCCTTTTCTGATATTTCATTGTCAGTGTAAAGAAATGCAACTGATTTTTTATGTTAATCTTGTATCCTTCTACCTTGCTGAATTCTTTTATCAGTTCTAGTAGTTTTTGTGTAGAACCTTTTGGGTTTTCTACATATACTATCATGCCATCCACATATATTGACAATTACCTCTTCTCTTCCAATTTGGATCCTTTATATTTCTTTTTCTTGCCTGACTGCTATGGCTAGGACTGCTACTATGTTGAATAGAAGTGGTGAGAGTGGGCATCCTTGTCTTGTTCCAGATTTTAATGGTAAGACATTCAACTTTTCATTGTTGAGTATTATGCTGGCTGTGGGTTTGTCATAAATAGCTTTTATTATGTTGGTAATTTCACCTTGCTCTAGCATGTTTTACTTCTTTTTTTTTTCCTTAATTGAAGTATAATTGATTTACAATGTTGTATTAGTTTCTGGTGTACAGCATAGTGGTTCAGTTATGCATAAATACACACACACACACACACACCCTTTTGCATTACAGGCTACTACAAGATATTGAATATAGTTCCCTGTGCTATATGGTACGATCTTGTTGTTGATCTGTTTTATATACAGTAGTGTGTATGTACTAATCCCAAACTCCCAATTTATCCCTCCCCTCCCCTTTCCCCTTTGGTAAGCGTAAGTTTGTTTTCTGTGTCTGTGAGTCTGTTTCTGTTTTATAAATAAGTTCATTTGTATGATTTTATAGATTCCACATATAAATGATATCATATGATATTTCTCTTCCTCTGCCTGACTTACTTAATATGATAATCTCCAGGTCCATCCATGTTGCTGCAAATGGCATTATTTCATTCCTTTTTATGGCTAAGCAGTATTCTACTGTGTGTATATATCTATATATAGACATCATATCTTCTTTATCCATTCATCTGTCAATGGACATTTAGGTTGATTCCGTATCTTGGCTATTATAAATAGTGCTGCTATGAACACTGGGGTGCATATATCTTTTCAAATTGGAGTTTTCTCCAGATATATGCCCAGGAGTGGGATTGCTGGATCATTTGGTAAGTTTATTTTAAGTTTTTTAAGGAATCTCTGTATTGTTTTCCATAGTGGCTATACCAAGTTACATTTCCATCTACAGTGTGGGAGGGTTCCCTTTTCTCCACACCCTCTCCAACAGGAAACTGACGTTTTTAAAACGACCCCACGCCCACTCCCCCTGCCCCCATCATGGGCATGGAGTTCACTGTGGCCACCTTTCCTCCTGATCTCCTCACCTGCATACCTGTGGACAAAATGGCTGAAGATGCCAGAAGTCTGCCTCTGCCTGCAGACCTCTCTCCCGGGGCTTCTGAGGAGCAGCCCTTGGGAGCCCTTCTCGAGAGAGGCAAGAGGTGGCCTGGATTTCCACACTTGCCCTGAGAAGTGGGACCCAAGCTGCCCGCTGGGCTGGGGGTGGGACTCGCAAGCCCATGGGCGGGGTTCTCACCTCTGCCGCAGTCGGGGCCCAGGAAGCCCAGGAAGCAGTGGCAGGTCCCGGAGATGCAGTCGCCATTGCCATAGCAGTTGCTGGGGCAGTTATCCACAGATTCTGTGGGAGGAAAGAGAAGGAGAGCTGCAAATGGAAGCTTCTCTACCCAAATAGAGGGCCAGGGATCCAGCCTCACGTTAACCAGGACACACCCTCTTGGGTGCTTCTGGACCAGTCATGGAAAGGAACCAATAAAGTTAAAAATTATATGTTTACTCTGACTGAAGTACATCTCAACTGTCACTGAGAGACATGTTTCGGAAAATGTATGCCTAAATCAATTCTTTATAAATCATGTTTGTATCTGCAAACACATTAGAAATTTTTCAGCTAAAACTCCTGGAGAAAACAGTTCAACATGTCAGTGGTTATTTTTGGATGCTAGGTTCTGGGATGATTCTTGTGGTCTTGACACCCTTCTGTGTTTAACATTTTTCTCATGTGGGCTGATATTTCATTAATGTATTTTTTTCATAAAGCTACTGGGGATTTGTAAATCTGTCTCTTCCCACCTCTGATTTTCATCTGTCGGTCCAGGACCTACCATCCCTCCCTGGGACTAACACAACAGCCTCACGGCTGGCCTCACAGTCTCCGCTCTCCCTCCACACCCTGATTTGTTCACCGCCCAGCTGCCTGAGCAATCTCTCTGAAACACAGCTGATCCTGTCATGCTCCTGCTTAAAACACTTCAATGGCCCCTCACTGGCTGAAACCGAAAAAAATCCAAGCTCTTTCAAACGGCAGAGGGGTTTTCTTTCATATTCCTTTTGCACTGTCTGCATCCCTGGCATTGCTGTCAGGCCCACCTTCTGCAGGGATGTTATTTTCTTTAACTCTTCCTTATACTTCTGGTTTTGTCTGTGTGACATGTCCAGGAGATATAGAATTCATTTCAGGAAGATATTAGGAAAATATTAATCAATGTTTTATAGCTCTAGTTAATAAACCTGTCATCTAGAAAACCTGTTTATCTGGAACAGCCCTTTTCTCAATAATGTTAGACGTGGAAGCAAAGAAAGAAGCCACCATACCCTGAACGCTTTCTTTGCACCAGGTGTTCGCACAAAGGTGATCTCATTCCACTGTCACTGAATCTTCAAGCATGTATTGATGTTTCTAGTTTACAAACAATAACAACAAAACGAGGCTGGTAGACAGATGAAGTGAGTTGCTGAAAGCCACAGAGATACTAAGTCATGGAGGCAGGATTTGAACCCAGGATTTTGGACTCCAAGCTTGGTCTTCCTCAATGATACTATGCTATCTGCGCCTTGAAGGAATTTATTTCTCAGCAGAAGCCAGGAAATGAAAAAGGCAGGTCTGTGGGACAGTGAGGCCAGTCCTGAAGACAGAAAAGGACCTGTTGGAAGGCAGTGAATTCTAGAACTTTCAGAACTTGAAGGGATCCCGGAGACCACCTAGTCTAGTGCTCTCATATACTAGAGAAGGAAACTGAGACCCAGAAGGAGGCAGTGACTTGCCCAAGGTTTCAAAGCAAGTCAGCAGAGTCAGAGTGAAAGCAGAGGAAAGGTTAGTACAGTGGGGCAGAGCTAAGGATCCAAACTGTTGTCTTAGTTCTAATTATATGTCATGAAGCCAAGACCTCTGTTAAATGAGATGTTACCATATAAGACATGAGCCTTGACCACAGGAAAGTTGTCGCCCACTAGAAGATCGTGATAACAGCCGTCACCCTGGCAGCAGCACAGGGCATGGAAGATGTTCTGACTGGAGGTAAGGAGACCTGGTTCTGGAGCCATTCTTCTAAAACCATGCTGGGCGACCTAAAGCAACTTCCCTCCCTCTCTGGGCCTCACCTACCTCCTATGTGAAAAGAGCAGAGATGACCCCAGGACTGCTTCCTGTTCTAAAATTCCATGAGTCTATAATTAATTAAGAGAGCATCTGTGCAGAAAAGGCATCCTGACAAGGCCATCAAGTCTTAAATCCAGAGAATCACTTAGCACCAATGCAATGCATCTGATACGGGGCAAAACCAGCAGAAGGAAGGCTTCTTGGAGGAAGTGAGCTAGGAGAATGGCTGGAGTATGGGAAAATGGGGGAAGAGAGTGGGGGAGGTTGAGGAGCTCACAACATGGTGCGTTTCCCAGAAAGGTCTTTTCCCAGTTGTCCGCCATTATCAACTTGGAAATGACTTAAAACATTTGGGAAAAGGGCTCAAACGTGTGCTTCCTTTTGTGAGTGGGTGGGAAATTGCCTTCGCTCAATGTCTCTCTGCTAAGACGAGCAGCGGACTCCAATAACAGAGTTAAGATGCAAGGGTCCGACCCAGCCAGTGTTGTCATTTCAGGGGGTCTGAAGCAGCCTGCATCCCAGCAGAGTGAGGCTCACAGACCAGGGCCCTGAGCATCTCGACTCCCCATTGGCTTTGCCTGGAAGAATCCATATGCCTTTAAGTTCCTAAAGCCTCTAGGTGAGGAGGGCTTACAAAACACTGTTTTTAGAGAGACTGACTTAGGAAGTTTCCTTTTGAATATTCCTTTAAAAGTAAGAATTCTGAGTCAAGTTTAAGGCAAGATTATTTTCACTTTAAACCACTGGCTAATGGTACAATTGGAGGGTGGGTTCCAGCTTCAGTCTTGCAGAAGGAGTGCATGGCAGAGAGGCAGAATGCCTGGCTTCCAGGTCTTGTTCTGCTACTGAGGGGCTGTGGGACCTGGGCCGTGTTGCTTGATCTCTCTGCACCTGCTTCTTCTCCCTTGCACTCTCTCCTCCCATCCTTCTCTGCTGGCCAACTTCTATTCCTTCTTCTAAATCCAGTTCAAACATCACCTCTGCTTACAAGACTTCTCAGTTCCTTAAACAGGCTATTACTCCTGGGACTTTTCCCATCACCCCTACTAAGGCACCAGATAGTCTACACTGTTGACTGTGAACTCCTTGAGGACAGAAACCGAGTTTATTCACTTATATACTTGCTCTGGTATCCAGCCCTTAAAAGGGTCTCAATAAATGTTTGTTGCCATCCCTCAAAGAATTCACCTAGATGATCTCCAAGATCCCTCTCAGATCTAAAATTCTATGGTTCAGGCTTTCTCAAACCCAGTGGTATAAAATACGTCTCCTAATACAATTACCATCATCACCAGCTGTGTTTTTAACAGGATCAGTTGCAGGTAACTGTCACACACTTTCTAGATTTGGATTTAGGAAGTCTGTAAGATACAAACCTTTTCATCCAAAATGCCTTCAGAGTGAAAAAGTGAGGAAAGTATATTTTCTGTGACTGAGCATCATGCTGGTTGCTAAATCTGACAGAACAGAAGCCTGTTTGCTACAAAACTTGCCCCAGGCTGTTGGTGTCAGAGAAGGCAGAAGTCTTAGGAGACATGGAATAATTATATGAGAGTAACATGGAAGTATAAGGGAGATATTTGGAGAATATTTCCTTCTGATGAAATGTTTATGTACATAGTTTTTTTCCTCTTGGAAGGATTTCAACTACTTGGGGTCCACTTGGGATCCAAAAAATAATGAGTCTCCATTGACCAGATATCTCCATGCTAAACGCTAGTGCAGAAGTGACACTCACTGGCTTGGGGGAAGTGTGAACTTGATTGCATAAACATGTTGTTATGTTTCCAATTAGTGTTTGGTGAATTTCTTCTCCCATAGTTCCTTCCTGCTTTACAATCATGCTCAAACTGCAGCCACCTTCATGTAACAGAAGGTATACCTTAGATCTGCTCAGATCTGAATTAAAAATTCAGCTGCCTGTGAATAACTGATTTTCATAATTAGGTACATGGTATGTTGGAAAACAAGAGCATTTGCCCCAAACTTTTGTTTTTCTACCACAACAGTGGGTCCTGCTAGGAAATCTGATTTTCAGGAACTGGTTTTTCTTTCCATCTATATTGGGATGCAAAGTTTAAATGTTTCTTTAGCTCCTTCTCTGGACATGTGTTCTGAGAGGGTGTGTTTTCTGGATGTTGAACAAAATATTGCTC